CCTTTAAAAGAAAAGAAAACTAATAAACAAATGGAACTACGGCCGAACCGTAAATATTCATGTGATTAGCAAGAAAAAGACTCATGTTTGGTCTTTGGGTGAAGTACTGATATGGACCTAGTGGTTTGTATGTTGGAAAATGCCCTATGGTTGGTATAAATTTATGATGGCTTGGCCTGGAATATCCTCCAAACATTATATTGGATGTTTTTGGATCGTATCAGCTATATCAATTATCAATTGCCTGCTGGTGTTGCTCTTTTTGTTGGGTCCATACTGCTTTTTGTTTATTGGTCGGAAGAAGTATACTATTTTCTCATTAAGTTATTATTTACCTTTCTGTTACTTATCATTATGCCCTATATGCTCCTTGCGCAGGATCTATTACTGTGGGAATAAGTGGAGGTGGATTTCTTTTGAAAATTTAAGACCTTGGTCCTTGTGTAAATTCTCACTTCTGAGGTGATCTTTCATGGTTGGTACTTGGTAGTGGTAGTGCGAACAAAGGATGATGTTGAGCTTGCTTTCATGAACTAGACTCTGCCTTTGGTGAATAAACTGTATATATATCCAATGGGTGTGAACACATTGTTCATTTCTGTGGCTTGTACTGCTCTAAGCCTAGTCGGCCTCCAGTATTGGACAGATGTTTCACTTGAAAAGCATAAATCAAGTGGTTTGGTTGTTGATGAATTTCTTAATTTGGAAGATGTAAGCCATGCCTTGGAGTTACTCTTGGGTTCGTACACCACTCTTGTGTTGGTGGCCTGTTTTGCAACTAATGTAGCTGTCTTGACAATTTTAGGCTTAAAGGTACTTTTCATTTTTTATTGATATACGTCTCATGTTTCCTTATCTTTCAATTGGCATGGAAGTGGCTTATATTTTTTAGCACTTGTGATGTCAGCATCATTACGATCTTATAGCAGTTTGCTGATGCCATTCCTTTTGCTCCTTTTTGCAGACAATATTCTTTTCAGAGTTGTATACATCAGAGATACGGAAAATGCTTGAGCGCCTTATTAATTATATCATATATAAGGTAACTTTTAATAAGTTGTTTTCTTTTTAATGTAAAAGTTATATTTTACTTAATCTGGTCAGTTTGATTTTCTTATTTGCATTTATGAAACAACTCATTGTTGAAAAGAAACAAATAAATTATTTTCATATGTAAAAAAAATAGTATGTATACATATATATATATATATATATATATATATATATATAAAGAAAATAAAGAATCAAATATATTGATTAAAGCTTGAAAAATTGCTAAGGAAGTCATGTTAAACAAAGGAAACAAAGAAAAATGTATGTCCTTGTATGTGTGAACGTTAAACATAAATAAACATTAGTATATATTAGCAGAAAATTGAAAAAGAAAGTCCATGGGGGCTGGCATCTTGGAGATATATTGACTAACCAGTGGAAGGAGATACAAGGTTTTGGGACTTAAATGACTGTAGCCTGTAGGACTATTGTTAATACTGCTTACGAAGCTGACACAATTATATATGTCTTGTATCATGGTGGAAAAAAAACCATATTTTGATACTATATTAATTCATCATCGACCACTATTAGTCCTGCATAATCAATTGTGAATTTGTGAGAATAATGTTCTGTGTCTGCGTTCCAAGTATTTGTTCATTAATATGGATAATTTCTTATTTGACACTTCTTTGTTTATAGGTGGTTATTTTGAATGATGTCTTTGTGAAATTTTGAACATTTCTACCCAATATCAATGGGTTTTTTTATTAATGTAATTCCTTGACCAATTTTGTGCTGTGCCATGATATAGATCATCCTTTTGCGGTTGTAATAAATCGCTGTTGATTTTTTATGGCCAAAGTTACAAAGACCTATATCATCCTTTCTTTATATGCATCCTATAAATAATCACTTGATTTTAGAATTATATATAATTCTTATCCTCCATAATTACCTCGCGGAATGGTCGATCTCTGTCCTTTAAGTCCCTTCCCTCCACCCGACACACTCACACTCACAAAAAAATAAAGAAAAGAATTGAAAAATAAAAAGAAAATCATACATTTACAATTCCAAAAGTTCTGTATGGAGACGGTAACTTTATGCAATTCCAAATTTTTAGTTACTTTTCCATCTCATGAAAGGCTTTATAGTCCTCATATTCAGTCTTATTAGTAGGAGTAGTTATTTTACTGGGTTTCCCCATACTGATCGTATGGGCTTCATGCTTATTTAAATCACCTTTCATCTATCTATTGCCCTTCAATTTGTTGTTCAGACGGCACATTTAGGGCAAGAAAACACTCAAATGTGTTTCAGAGTTCAGTACTCTGGTCATAGTTGGTCTCTAATTTAATTGACCCTATTTGATGGAGCTCCTTTTGAGAATAGGAGTTATTAACTCGTTACAAAATGAGCTATGCATGAAATTTTTTGGACGGTTGGTTGTGATGAGCACGATGTTGAGTGAAATGGTGTCTTTTTAGTTTGTTATAAAAATTGATATTAAAATTCTAAAAAGTAGTCAAAACGATTATCTTCTGCTGAATTTATTATATCAGTTTTGTTTGTGCCACACAGTTGTGACTGATATGCTTTTGATAGGGAACTTTTCTTCCATTAGTGGTTCCACCAACAATATTTCAAGCAGGACTGTGGTCGACTTGGTTAGCTGTACTTTGTTTTTTGAAGGTATTCATTAAAACTATGATCAATTAGTTGATATTATCAATTGTATATGGTGGTTGACATGTGGTGGAAATATTTGCAAATTGGTCAGATGTTTCAAGCTTTGGCCAGGGATCGACTTGAACGATTGAATGTTTCTCCTTCTGCCACCCCTTGGACATACTTCCGCGTATATTCTGCGCTGTTGTTTGTTCTCTCTGGTGACTTGCTCTGGTATTTTTTGTGCTGTTGACTTTCTTACTTTATTTTTTTTTTCTACCATTCTGTCTTGTAGGCATTTGCCTTTCTACTTAAAATATGTATAATGCGATATTTTTCTTTGTATAAACTCTTGAATAGATTTATCTCCTTGAAATGGCTTCCCTTTACTGCTGTTTCTTAATGCAAAATGAAGCACTTTCCATTGATCTTCTTGTTATACATACGCATGTATACTTATATGTATATGTAAGTATTTATTTTTTATTCTGTCTTCCTTTTTTTTTCTTCTTTTTTTTTTGAGTTTTCTCCCTTTGTAGGATTATGTTTATCCTCTAAGCGTACATAATTCGTCTCGTGTCCTCCAATAGGGTTATCGCTTGTTCAACAAGCAAGGGACCCTCATACAAATACCCACATAGGCAAATTGGATTTTTCCTCAGACCTAAGTAGGCACTAATGGGTCATTACACGAAAGATTTGCTGAATGGCATCTGGTGCGGATAATCCAGATCTTGTTTGTTTACTGTAAATTGGTCATGCAATCAATCACAATCAACTGAATTTGATATGGTGTTTACGATCTGCTAAATCTGTTTAAATTTTTTAATGACTTGCTCTCTTCCATTGAATGAAAAATGTATCTTCTGGGGGTTTTTCGGTCCGGTTAATTTTTTATCGCCTTGCTGTCTTCCATTGTTTGAAATATGTAAGTTCTTCTGGGGTTGTTTCAATTTAGCTTCAGGATCATGTATTCTTGATTGTATGAATGGACTTATGAGAAGTGCAAGTTCCTTATTGTCAAAGAATACAATCTTAAGCAATTTCACCTTACTGAGGGATGACATGAAATGACTGTAGTTAACGCTGTCTATTTGCTTCTTTTGATTCGATATGTTTCAAATAAGGTTTCTTATCTTTTGAGGAAACCCCGAATCAACTCCCAACAATCTAGCTTGCTATCCATAAAGCATCCTTGTCTTGAACTGCCACTTCCACTGAAGTGTCTTGTGTTAGGGAAACACAAGTGCTCATGTTTTATCATCTTCCATGTTTGAGATTTTCTTATGATCAGCCAAACTTCTGTTTACAGGTGAGTGTTGATGCCAAGTTTATTGTCATAAGAAATTGGTTCTTTCAGAATTAATCATTTATAGTTTTAGATCAAGGAGCACTACTCAACACAGGGAAATTCATAGGCAAATTAGTCTAATGTGTGACATATTGTTGTGGGCTTCTGGCTATTCACGAAGTAGTTATCCATAAGTTAGTTTTATTTAATACAGGTTAGGGAAAGCACTCAACTTTACGGGCTCTAGTTATGTGCAGTGATGATTGCTGTAACTTTGAGTACATAAGGAAGTAACTAGCATTCATTTGGTCTGCATTGTCAAATCTTGAATTTCTCACATGCATTATTAAAGAATGGGATAAAGATATTTAACCCCCGATCTTGTAACATATTATGATGGAACTAAAATATTTTCTAGTTAATCTTTACCACAACTCTTCTTTTCTATTTCTGTCAGGATTTCTGATTTATTTGAAATTTCATACTGGGATTGATCTATCAATGCAGGATATTGCTATGTCTGATAATATACAATGAGACTAGTTCACCAATGTTTTTGTTGTTATTCTTTGAGCCTTCAAGCATTGCTTTTGAAACATTACAGGTGATGCTTCCTTCTTAAGTTAAAGGCCTAATTGTATAGGAGTCCCATGTCGGCTGATGGTTTGTAATTATGATTTGTAGGCAATTGTGGTTCATGGATTTCAATTGCTTGAGATATGGTTTCATCACTCTGCAGGAGATAGTGAGAGTTGCCGGTTATCAAAAATATTGGATATATCCCCAGCCGGTGAGTGTCAAAGTTTTATTCTTGTAAATTGCCATTTTAGTTTATTTTCAATCAGATATTCAAGAAATTGCTTTGTGCTAATTTCCTTATAGTATCTTAGTTGATACTCTGCAGTTAGGTTGTTTTCATCAAGCATGAACAAATAGAAGAATTTATAGCTATATTTATCCAACTGATTAGCATTGCGGTTGATATAATACCTTTGGAAATTAGTCTGAGAAAGTACCATGCTGAAGTAAGAAAATGGGAAAGCTGTCTTCTGGTGCTTAATCATGCATTTAGTCATTTTTAGTTAGGGACTAGGTAACTTTTGTTTGGCAGATTTCTATGAAATGTTTATTGGTCGTTTGTACATGTCCCACCTGTGTGCTGGTGAGTTGAAACTGACACTTGATTTGTGATTTTTCTTCTGCTGTCAATGAAACATTGAAGTTATTCTTTTTTCATAGGCTTTTTGGGGGAGTGGAAAGGCATCCTCATCCGAAATTTGGGGTTTTTCCTGGACATGATGACAATGCTGATGGCTATTGCTCATTATTTGCATATTTGGTTTCTTCATGGAATGGCATTTCATCTTGTGGATGCTGTCCTTTTCCTAAATATCCGTGTAGGTGTTCTCTCTACTATCAATTGCTACAGACCATGTAATCCTCCTGTTGGTGTTACTATAGTTGCTATTGTTGCAGCTGTTGCCCATCCCTGTCCTTATTTCTTGTCTGTACTTATATTATCTTTTGTTATTCTTAGGCAATTCTAAGTGCGATTGTGAGACGTGCTAAGGGTTTCATCAAACTACGTGGTGCTCTGGGAACCCTTCATGGGGCCCTTCCAGATGCCACATCTGAAGAGCTCAGAGTATATGATGATGAGTGTGCAATTTGTAGGGTAAATAGCTGATATTTTCTTGTGTATCTCTCACAGTTGGTTTTGTATCCGAGTATGTGAAATACATTGAAATTGGCAGGAACCGATGGCAAAAGCTAAGAAGCTGTCTTGTAAACATCTTTTTCATCTTGCGTGCTTGAGATCTTGGTGCGTGTGTCATCTTAGTTGTCTGAAAATGTAGCAAATTAATCGTCAATATAAGATGTGAAAGTGGATTGATGAATGACAGGTTGGACCAAGGTTTAGCTGAGAGTTACTCATGCCCCACTTGTCGGAAGCCACTATTTGCAGGCAGACCTGAAAATGGGGCTAGTACCAGGGCTGCCGAAATTCCAAGAGATGAGCAGCTAGCTCGTTCATTGAGCACTGGGCTTGATAGGCCAAATCTTCCTGGTCATAATCCTCATCCTGGAGTCTTCCCTAGCCAGTCACAGAATCCAGAGAGGTTGCCTTTTCTCTTGATGTTTAATTGTGATTACGTTGCATTGGTTGCATACTTTTGAATTTTTATGTAATATGGAAGGAATTAAGCCAATGCTCATATTGGCTGAGAGGAATTAAGTCGGTGCTCATATTAAGATTAGCTCACCATACGATGGTTATTTGTTTACACTTCTTAATGCAAAAGTGTCATTGTTGCTTCATATATTGTCGAATGTGGTCAATTCAGAACTTTCGGTTTCCTGTTAAATGGCAGTTTTGACTACTACAATTTGGCATGGCTGAAAGATGATCCTTTTTCCTTCCTTGGCTTTATATTCATGTACTCATGTTGAATTAGTCGATATGACTAAATGCGTGTGTGTGCATGTTTACTTGTTTATTTTTTTCATTTTTATTTGTGTTCCAGTCTAGGGGTAAGGAGGTGGGTGGTGTTCCTAATTCTTCTGGAGTGACTGATTATCAAGAAAATTTTAATTTAATGAAAGCACGGTTTTTTTCTTTTTCTGTATTTTTCGTTTTCTTGTAGGGTGAGTGGGATCGACTCAAGCTGGTTGAGTTTGGATGGGGCTGGACCATCTAGGTTGAGTCGCGTTCAGATGGTAGTGAGACAACTTGCAGCTGTAGGAGAAACTTATGACCAAACTGTCCTTGAGGATGCTGCTTGGAGTCTTTTCCCCCCGGATCCCTCTCAGGCTGGTACATCCAGGTCAGCAGCTACACCTGCTGCTAGTCCATTGCACTATCCTAGAGGTGCTGCCGGTTTGCATGTGAGATCAACATCACAAACTGTGAATGGTAGCCTGGCGAATATAATGGCCATGGCTGAAACAGTACGGGAAGTGCTGCCCCATATTCCTGATGACCTAATCTTTCAGGTAAAAAACTGGGCCTCATTTGTCCTATGGTGATTTTTTTTTTTTTTTGTTCCCCATTTTGCTGATGTTCGTAGGAGAGATTTTCCCAGGCATTTGACAACTAGCAGTACTGATTGTCTTTTGTTTTGTCCCTCGATTTTGTCATATGTTATGACTAATCTGAGCCGTGCACTGTTGTACTGAATTACACCCTTGACAGACTGATTAGAGCAGTATTGAAGACAAATCCACAGAGCAAAAATGATATTACATTAACCAAGCATTAAAAATGTTGGTGTTTTGTTTTGTTTTGTTTCTTACACTTCCACTTCCACATTGGACACTGTGGACATGTGGATCTGCATGCCAAAAATAATGTAATCTTCATTGTTATTATATCAATATTTTGCTTTTATTCCCTGAAAGCATTCTCATTACCGTCTTCTATTTGTTTTGCAGGATTTGCAGCGGACAAATTCGGTGGCTGTCACTGTGAATAATCTTTTGCAAATGTAATATTGTTTGAATTTTACTATATTGAAAAAGAAAGGTCTCTCTCGGAAGCACGAGAATTATCCATCTGACTGGGAGCTTTGTGCCTAAAATTCTAAATCTTAAAATCTGTACATAGAAGGCGGCATAGTCAAACCACGCCTTGAGATCGTGTAGCGACTTTTGTTGGGAAATAAAACATGTTTCATTCTGTATGAATGTTGGGTGTTTGTTGTACCATCATGTTGTATTAGTTTTAGTCATGTCCTAATGTGATGATGCTTAGGCCTGCACCTTTAGCTATATCCGGATATGCATTACTTGTAGGGTCCTTGATCCAATAATAAAGCCTGAGTTTTGTAATAGTTGTTATATATACGAATCAAACGGTTTTGATATGAAGCTAACAGTTGGCTCCATAATGGAGCCAACTTTCTATATACAATGAGTAAACCTACCATATTCTCTAATTACTTAAATAACATTAATATAATTTTATTGATATAATAGGTTTATTTGTTGTATATAGAAAGTTGGCTCTACTATGAAGTTAATTGTTGGCTTCATAGCAAAACCGACGAATTGGATTTCAACATATCAGTTTATAATCAATTTGCGCTCTATGAAATTTTTGTTTTTTTTTTGTTAGGTTTTGTCAACATGTCAAACAAACTTTTTTTTTTTTT